CCCCCAAGAACCACTTTTGACCTCCCGCCCCCCCACCTCAGCAAAACAATTGTTCACATGTCCGAGCTCATCTCCTGGTGGGTGCGGCGTACCGCCTAAGTCCGTCTCGTGGCTCTTTCTAATGTCGTGACTTGAGCTTCCTTTTTCCGATTGCAATGCCTGCAACAATCTTGTTGCCAAATCATTAGTAGCTCTTGATTAAAACACGAGTACCCGAGAATCCAGTTTTTACAGAGTTGTTAAAAGGGCCTTCTCTAAACTGCGAAGTTGAACAATCGAACGACATCATCCTGCCATTCACATCTGCATCTACTGCATCCAAGTATTCGGTTGCCAGAATGCTAATGCTAATTTTTGGGACGACCAAAGGGTTACAGCATTCAATGGGAAGAAGTTGATCTTCCGTCCTTTCGTCCGCCACCTTGTCTGGCTTCAAGGGTTTTTCGAGAGTGGATTGTGACGGGGGGGCCACTTGGAATGTTCCTTGAACAAACGCGGCGGCGCATCGTGGAGATAAAGACGCGCTCAGGTTGCGTTCCTGACAGCGCGGGACTGATAGGCGTCACTCCGGCATGCGAGGGACAACGCTCGAGAGGCCGTCGTGCCGATAAGACGCTCGCACCTCGTTCGGTGGCCTCCACCGTGACTGACTGCCGGTTAGCTTACAAAAGTTTTTTTTTTTTTTTTTTGGGGACATTTCTTCCATGCCGCTCAACATTGAAGGTCATCGAGATTGGCTTTCTTAAAAATCTGAGGATCATAATTTTTAACGCCAACCGAGCACAACTACTAAAAAGGAAGAAATAGTTTTAAGATGCAAGTCAAAACAACTCCGCAAAATATTTGTGGAGAATACTAACTAGCTTCCTAGCATGGTTGCCAGATACAGTATATACATGTTTGATGACTTTGTGTGGTTGTTAAAGACATTTCATTTGCAGCTGAAAGAAAGCAAAAACGAGTCCAGTTGCCGCCATTCAACTTTTGCGAAGCGCTTTACCTCTTTGGATTCATGTCGGTAAAGTAGCGCCACCTGCAGGCACCGGCCACCTCCTCCCAAGTGCTGTTTTTGCTACGTTCCAGTCAAAGTTCTGGCTCAAGAAAGAGCTGACACGGGACCGTGCTGGTGTCTTTAAGTTCTTTCTTTCAGACGCAAGAATCCTCGCCCTGAAATGACATCTGAAATACTAGGAGGAAAAAAAAAAAAAAAGTAAAATATTTAACTGCTGCAGTCACATGTTGGCATGACAAAGTACATCTGTTGTGATTCCCACCAACGGTCGTGTCACATCCAATTTGCTGTTCCAGCAGACAACACCCGCGGTGGTAAACGTCTGGTCTTGTCCTTGGCGGACGTTTTTTCTTTGTCATGATGTCATCACTCAACAAGGTGAGTCTGGTAAGAGAAGGTGACGGGCGTTGTGGGGGGGAGTGGTGGGGGGGGGGGAGTTTCCGGACAACATTGTGATCTACATTTGGTTGACCGGCTTCTCCAAAAACAAAAGACATCTGTAGGCAGCATCTGGACCGGGTTTGGAATGCGCAGCTTACTGACGTGTCGACTTGGGTCTGAGGCAGGGATTCCCATGGGTGGACGCGTGGCCGTCCTCCAGGGAAGTCTTGGGTTCCAATCTTAAATCTGTGTCCCCTTTTGAGGGGCGCAAGGGAGACGGACGATCCAGTATGAACTGGATTGATCAAACTGGGCATGCAAAGAGACCAAATGGAAACGCAGCACAAGCTCACTTGCTATTGATCAAAAATGCGGATGACCCGTTGTTGAACTGAAACATGAAAACGCGCCATTAAATTTGTTTTTCTACTCAGGCACATCTTTGGGTCCCTTGAAAGGCACTTGATAAATCCAAGTGACAGTGGCGACAGTCAGAAGGAGCAAAGCAGCGTTTCACAACTAAATGACTCCGAAAGCTGCAGTGAGTCTGTTTTGCTGAGGATAAAGAATATATGAATGTGAATATTCTTCTATTATCTGCCTACACGTGCTTCTGTGTGTTCAAATACATTGTTTAAATTTAAACTGACATCAATGCTAGTTTCATTAGCCCGTCTGTGACTTTGGGTGCTGTGCGTTAGCATTAAGCTAGTTGACTTTCCCAGGTTTTCTGGTCTTCGGGTGACTTGGTTTTATGTTTCAATTTCATGCTCAGGTAAGAATTGTTCACCATCTGCTGCTTTTTGCTCTCAACTCAAGACAGAAAAAAAATTGGCAGAGTGACAGTTTGTAGATTTAAAAACGTCTCAATTGGGTCACTGGTAATTCGAGATCACACTGTATTATGATTATTGTCATTACTTTTAGGCTGCCTCGCACAGGAATATTAATGATAAAATCGATCGACAAGAATTTTGCCAATTTGGTCCTCATCGAAATGACGATAGTTCCGCTTGTCCTGCAGGCTTAAGTGGTTCTGAATGGATGAAGTGGGTGGTGGCGCTGGGGTTGTCTAAGTGTGCGCGTCTGTGCTTGGAAGCCGAAATCCAAATGTTTAGTTGACAAAAGAGCAGCTACTGACAGTAGGCAGGGGGTGGGGTTGCCGGAGGAAAAAGAGGCGCCGTGTGGGGGGGATTATTTGTCTATCTGTGCTGAGAGTGATTGGCAGCGACTTGAGCCAAAAGGTCACGTCTGCTTTTAAGAGTGAAAGTTGATCTTCTTAAAAAAAAAAAAAAAAAAGCCCCCGAGAAAGAGGAAGTCCAGCATTGCGCCTGCCTGCAGCGTCACAACTTGAAAAAGGGTCCTCAAAGCAGAATGCAAATAAACAAATCATGTGTACGAAATAAAAAGATGAGCTTGACATTCACATCTGAAACTGACATTTCAAACGTGAATTAAATCAAGTTAAACACTCCCGTGGCGTCGTTTTGTTTGGACTTTAAAAGGCCGAGTGCAAGCAGTCGCCAGGGAAGTGTGTGTGTGTGTGTGTGTGTGTGTGTGTGTTTGTGTGTGTCAGGCAGCCAGACTTTGTTCATTCATCCTGCGCTTGGCTAGGCCTGTCGATCCGAGCGGAAAGTAAGACGGAAAAAATGAACTCCTGCTCACCTACGAGGAGTCTCCAGTCAGGGCTGGGGGCTGATTTGTTTGAATGTCAAAATTTTTTGTATGACTACTGGTTCTTTTTCAACATGTATTTAATCACATATACTCAGATTTATTTTAATCACCCCCAAACACAAAATTCCAGTTTCAACCTTGCCTCGGAGTTACAGTTGTGCAAGGCCACAGTTTTCAATTTGTGTCTTGGACTGATGCAAATAATTTGCAAACAAAAAGTTGCCCCAAACTACAGAAGACACAAACCGGACAGCCGATTTAATAGGCTGACATTAGCGTTTTTAAAATTTTTAAATTAGATTTTTTTTGCAGGGTTTTTTTAATTTTTTTTTTTTATACATCAACACATTACAATAGAAGACAAAGATATTGAAACATCCCACCCACTCCCAATCATCTGCATCAGAAACAAAGGTCTTTATACATTGTCTTGTGCAAGGCCATAGTTTTCAATTTGTGTCTTGGACTGATGCAAATAGTCAACATGACTACTGTATTTGCAAAAAAAAAAGTTGCCGGACAGCCAATTTAATAGGCTGACATTAGCATTTTAAAAAAATTTTAATTTGATTTTTTTGCAGGTTTTTTTTTTTTATACATCAACACAATACAGTAGAAGACAAAGATAATGACATTGAAACATCCCACCCACTCCCAATCATCTGCATCAGAAACAAAGGTCTTTATACATTGTGTTAAAATGTTCTTTGTATGTATTTATACATATATATCCAAAGTACGAGAGATATCGTTACTCGATATCAGTTGAGTACAGAATCACCTAAGCCGTAAACAGCCCGGCCAGAAGACTTAAAGATGGAGGTGGTCCACTCGAGTTCTTAGTGTTTCCCTTTTGTGGTATGTTATTAACCCACGAGGGAAGAACATTTCTGAACCTGGTCACCGTGGCAACACTGCCATTAAATAACACTTTTTGTTCTCTTTATATGGTTTAAAAATAGGCCTTGGATCTCTATTTATCTCCCCCAAGGACATAGGTGACATCAAGGAGGCTTGCCGGGAATGTCAGCGTTTTCACTTTTTCAAGAAAATTCTCACACACAGATTTCCAACAGCATAGCTCATCTCCATTCGAACCTTTGGTGGCACACAAACAAGATTTCGGTCTTTTAGATTCAAACAACACAGTAAGTTATTTTTTTCCAAATCTTAACGGGATCTTGGTGCCAAGGAACTATGCTGCAGTGAGTTGAGGGGCTTCATTTAGAATATTGGTGTTTCACCACCTTGTTGGCAAGGAACTGTGTTGGAGCTGATGGAGGAGATTCATTTAATCAAAAGTAGTACTTGGCGACATGTTTACTTAAGTCCATATCGCATATTTTCCAAATTATTGTGGACATTGCGCTCCAACCAAATGTATTATAAAACCATTTCCACTAAACTACTGAAGTTTAAAAAAAAAAAAAAGTTTCTTTTCTCATGCAGAGCGGACACATACCTCAGTGCTCCTGCTCGGGTAAATCCACCGAACGTTTCCACTTTCCTTTTTCCCATCGTGTGCTCGTCATTGGTCAGGAAGGAAGGCGCTGGCAAGCATAAAAAAAATAAATAAAAAAGAACAGTGACATTTTTCCAGCTTTAATCAACAGAAGGAATAAATGACAAAGTCTGGTGAAAGAAGATCCAAAGGGGGAAAAAAAACATCAGGAAAAGGTCATGCTACATTATGTCATCCTAGATCAATACAAAACCAAGTCATGTATAAAATTAAGATTTTGTACCTTTTCAAAAGTTATAATAAATTACATTACTTTTCTTTTAGTGTACTTGGCGTTTGTGAAAGGAAAAGAAAAAGTCACCTGATTTTCCACCCGAGATGTCAACATTTCAAACACTTTCTGGTTTTCTTCTTTTATCCTTGCTGACAAAGGCATCACAGCCCCACGTGTAACCTGGTGAAACGTGACGGAATTTTGGGTTTTTAACTCAGGGTTATTTGTTTTATCGCAAACACCCTTACACGCAGCCGCTACTGTGTAGCTAGCATGCTATTTGTTTGGTGAAAGTCAAAAAGGTTGACCTATGACAGGCCATAATTTGAAGGCTGGCCTGTTCCGTTACGACAAGAATACGCGTGGAGCCACTCATGAGAAAACTGCTCATACAGACCCGCGCAAGAAACCCCGGAAACAAACAAACAAAAAAAACAAAACAGCAGCCATCACGAGTGGTCGCAAACATTTCAGCGGCACAGGAAAGACATGTCGCCTAGGTGTTGTAATTCCCTCACTAATGACGACAAATGGTCTTGCTAGAGCCCTTTGTGCCAACATAAAATGTTTGGACACCTCGTTACTCGGCTTTCCATTGTCTGCCAGGCCAACAATAACGCCGTAAAAGTGAGTTGGCACTTTTTTTGATGACATCATGATTGTGCCATCTCTGATTGGCCAAAAGGCCACTGGGGCTAATTAGCTTTTTTGGAGGGGCCGGGGGAGGGGACTAGCACTTGACAGACAGAATGGCAGAAATGTGATTTGAATTTGTTTTTCTTTTTCGAAGGAATCTGCCCGTCAGATTCCTCTCAATTTAGCGGCTAACGGCGTCTGGTCCTAATAAGCCGACGCGGCTTTCACGTTAAGTATCGGGTTGTTGGTCCTCGATAAGCCCTTGAGCCCCCTCCCGCACGCTTTCCCACAAGGATGACGGGCTCGGTGGGCGTGAGCGGGTCCGTGGGTGACTCAGTTGGTTTGATTGTCTGGAAGAAAAAAAAAACAAAACACTTGTCAAGTCACAAGTCGTTCATTCCGCGACAGCTCCGGAGATTACGGCAGTTGTACTGTATGTTTGAATGCATGCGCGCGTGCGCTCACGACAGGCTGCACAAGTACAACTTGTCCACACGGTGGCGCTAAACATTTGTAGCAAATACGTATTTTAATGAGCTACATAAATGTGGATATATAAAATTACAAATTGATCACGAAACATTTTATTTTACGTATTTCATTCATGCGTTTATTTACTTTGACTAATCCGACCCGTTTTTTTTAAATGCAGTCTACATTTATTTGTAATTGATGTTTAATTGGTTGAACGAGGGTTCATTATTTGTTTGCTTAATGTTTCTTTCATAATTATTTGATTTGAAACGACAAAATAACGAAGTGGGTTAATAAAATAATCACAGGGGGTGAGGGAAACCCTTCAAATAATCAGCGTTCCATCTCCAGACTGTGATGTTATCGGTCGTTGACACGCCACGTGAAAAGATTATCCTTTTAAATAGGGTTGGCCATAAATTTGCCTCTGATTACATTAAAGATTAAGGAAATTTGTCTTGCTTTCTGTAGGCCACCTGGTAAAAATGCACCGCTGCCAATGACCACAATTTGTCCCGGTGGACCTCTTGAAAGCGCAATAACGATGCAGTTGCGCTACCTAGCGGCCAGGATGGCTAATTACAGTGTCAATTGAAGAATTTGGACGGTGTCCTGAGATGTTCCTGATATTCGGTCCCAATTTAGCTGTGACTCGGTGTAATTTGATTCTGAAAATTGGGGCTTTGTGTAAATAGTTCTGTACGTGGGATGGATAATTCCCAGGATGAATGGTTTGACACGTTGTCAAAAGTGAGGGGGACAACAAATAAGGCCTACGCTGCAATTGCAGATGAAGCAATTTTTCCCAAGTTTTATTTTTATGTGACATCCAAAAATCCAACTGAGCTACACAAAGTTTAGGATGCCTAGTTAGATTTAATGCGTGATGCGTGAGAGGAAAGCAGGTTTGTGACCCAATGTGAAATATTTGTTTTTCAGTCCAATTGAACTACAGAAGCAGCTCACCTAACTTCAACCGTGGCATTTTAGCTCAAAGGCTATATTATCCTCAAAAAATGCTTTTTGTCCCGACTCTTAATAATATAGCAGGTTTCAGCAAGACAGTTCTGTGACATTTTTCGTGCACTTCCGTTATATTAAGTTCAATAAAGCTGCCGAAACAGGAACTGCAGTCAGCTTTAACCACAAATGCACTCGCTACCTTCCATTGGGAAACGCTCAAGTGCCGTCTTCATCTGGAGCTGTTCAGAATTTAAAAAATAAAATGGGAGTAGGACAAAAACAAAACATTTCAAAATAGAACATACTCACCAACCAATCAAGAGGATGAAAGGAAAAAGTGGCTGTTATTCCGTGCTGAATTTTAAATCTGAAGAATTGAATAAACAGGCTCATTGCTAATGCTAGACAGACAAACAAAAGAAATCAACATTGTAAGTCACATTTAATGCCCTGGGCTTTATTGTCTTATTTTAGTGGGAATTCTGTCACATTTTCTCTTTTATTATTTTTTTTACATTTTTTTTCAGCTTCCAGGTGGGACAAGTAAACCCCAAGGACATCCCGCCAGCTGAGCCGGTGTTCAAGAACCCCCCCACCCCTCCACAAAGCGCACAAGCACTACTAAGTAATGCTGCCTTTGTGCCGGACTCTTCACAGAAGAGAAGTCATAAAATTCCCCAAAGGAAGGCACCCAAAATACTTGTGGTTTTGTTGGCTTCAAAGCCATCTGGAGAGATTCTTTTGTTTGTTTCTCAAATAAAGAAGAAAAAAAAAGGAGGGGAGGAGGGGCTAATGATCCCCTGATTTTGCTTTCTCCCCTCTTGAAAAACTGGAATGATGAAACACGTTCAGTCGCCTCCCTTATCGTCATCTATGCATCGAACAAACCAAACCGTGACATTTAAAAGCTTACAATCGAGTTGACCACAAGAACACAAAATAGAAAAATAACTCTTAATACAAAAAAAAAAGTTGGTGGGATTTAACGACTCAAATGAAATCAAAAGAACACCGGGGCTTGTTGCATGAAATAATGGACGATCCCCCTTCCAACCCAAAATACAAAAAGCAGCATTGTCGTTATCAAAAAGCCATCGACGGAAAAGACAAAAACCCACAAAAATAGTGCTTTTAAAACGAAGCAGCAAAGGCTTCTGGGAAGAGACGTCATCCCGGTTTGAATAGGCGCCGTTCAGCACATCCGACACCGCCGCCGCCATCTTTTCCTTCCGACAGGTTGGGGTTGACAACGTAAGAAAGACACACGGGAGGCTGCGGCCAGCTGACATGTATAAGAGCACAGGAAGCGAACAAAAGTACAGTGTACAAATAAGAGTCCTCCACCCCCACCAAAAAAAAAAAAAAGTGTAAACACGGCACAATAAATAGATCAAAAGCAGCATCTCGCACCATGCATGTGATAAAACGTCTCTATACAACTCCCACACACAGACACACACACAAACACACCGTACTTTTTTTTTTCCATTCTCTTTTACGCTCCCAAGTGCAAAACATCACAAACGGACAGTTGTGTATTCAAGTGGTATGTACAAATAAGTCCTTACTGTACACATATGCACAATGTACACCACGCATGTCTCTGAAAGGTAACAAAAAGAACAAAACACGTTTTTAAAAAGGACGACGTGGTGATCTGCCTGTCATCCTGGCAGTCCCTTTTTGACCCCCCCCCACCCCTCGACGCTACGATGCACAGCACCTGAAAACTCAAATCGATTCGGCTGCCCTCCGCCGCCATTACGTCACTTCCATGGCCACTGTGTTGTCGACGATGTTGTTCAGAGACGATTTGTCCTCCTCGCGCTTCTCCCTGCCCAAAACACACAAAAAAAGTGTTTACTTACATCCAGCTCATGACAAAAAGAAAACTTTAACATGTCTCGATTTAATTCTATTTCAACTCAGAGGACAGACTGCGATAAGATAACGATGATTACAATTTGCAATATGGGCAAGATTCACGTCCATTCAGTTTCAGATGTTCTACCATTCTATTAAATTCCAATTCCGAGAACTTTAATTAGAGTTCAAATGGACAGGGTTTGATTATTTGTCACAAAAGAGCGACGGCCACGTTTCAAAAATGAAAACAAATTATATCATTTTAGAGAGTAACTCCCGAGTTCATCGGATTTTTAACCATTCATGTTGTTAACCGACCTAAAAAACAGATTTCACTACATAATGCCAAACACATTTTTAATTTTCTTCTAATTTTTCCCATCTTGGCAGAGTCCTCACCTGGAGTTGATGTCCAGTGACGGTGTGGCAGGGACTTTGGGCTTCTGCAGGGTGGTGGCGGCGGACAGTTTTAAGGCAGAGGGCGGCACGCCGGCCAGGGCGCGCGGCAGATGGCGCCCTGCCAGGTTGCCGGTCGACGGAACGCTCAGACAGATGTTGTTCCCGATGAGGACCTGAGTGGCGGCGGCGGGGGCGGCGCCGGCCGGGGCGCATCCCAGCAGGCCCAGCGCCGCGTGGTTGCCCGGGGCGGCCGCCAGGGAGAGGGGGACGGCGTTGGCGGTGGGCGGAGGCGCGGCCGGAGGCTGCAGGAAAGCGGGGGCGGCCGCAGTGGGCGACGGGTGGCTGGGGTGAAGCGCTGTGGCCGTGCCGGACAGATGCAAACCTTTCAAGACACCTGACGACGACAAACAACCAACCAACCATCTTTAGAAGGAAGATACGTGCCAACAACTACGTTGCTGACATTTTAGCTCCATGTTAGCTAATGCGTTATAGGCTAGCATCACGAGTTCGAACACATTCCGCAGTGCTTCACTGAACAAGTTCATAAAATACGCAGCCAAGGCCACAACTCACTCACCACAAACTCAGCCAGCCAAGTCTACACTCTCATTTGCTGACACCCACATCACTTACCAGGCCAGGCCTTCTTAAGCCATATAAACTTAAAGTCACAGATGCAACAGTAGAACGTGACATTAAGCCTTTTGGCGTGAACCAGAAACGGCACGGGCACTCATAAAACAATAGAATAGCTTTCAATGATTAATTCCTTTTTTGTATCAGAGATGAAAGTGGACTTTTCTGAAAATTCCGGAAAAAATAAATAAATAAATGTGTGTGTGTGTGTGTGTGTGTGTGCGCACACACACACATGCGCGCGCACGCACGCACGCACGCACTTGGCCGATCAAGCATGAATTAGTTTATACAAAACGCTATTCAAATACTCGACATTAAATGATTAATCTTCCTTTTGAGTGCACACGTGTACCCTTTGTGGCTTCCATTCGGGCCGAAATTTCGAAATCTCCAAGATATGGCGAGGCCATGAGAATGCGAGGCGAGGGTATTACTGTTGTGGCGACTCCACTCAAGCGGAG